GGTGCCAAAAATACCTCCTGGAGCCGAGCCCTGCGTGGTGGGAGCTGCCTTCAGTTTGGCTGGGAGATAAATAAATAGACAAGAAAGGCGTACGTAGAGGCTTTTGTGGTTTTAAAGGCTTACTAAACTTTCTGTTTAGGCGTTGTTTGAGAGGAAGCGTTAGATAAACAGAAGGGAATGTCTAGGGTGGATTTGAACACACTGTGATACTATCCTTAGTTTCGATTGAGAAGAAAAAATTATAGAAGTGACTTGGCAGAAATGAAATTAGTCCAAAATTCTCAGGCTTTGTGCTGAGCAGAGAGTTGGAAAGCTGGGCACTGTGTCAGTCCTGCCCCAAGCCCTGTACCACTGCTTGGTTCACTGTATGTGTGTCCTGGGAACTGGATGTTTGCTTGGCTCTTTGTTCAATTTCCTGGAAGAAAATTAAGAAGTTCTTTATCCCCCAGTACAAGGATGGGAGAGCAAGAGCTGATCAACAGGAAGAGCTGATAGGGGAGGAGTCGTCTCTTTGGGAAATATTCTTTCAAGTTTTACAAGAAGAAGAAAGTCTCCGAAGAAATCAAATCATGCTTTGTACCTATAGGGGATAATCCTTCCTGTGGTCTTAAAAAAAAAAAAAAAAAGAAGAGGAATCTGTGAAAGGATTATAATTGTGAGATAGTATAGGGATGGATGCATTATTAGCAACCTGTCGTACGACCTCCTGCAGGGTTCTAACACCAAATACTAATTTTAGATGACAAGGAGTTTTGTTGTCCAAGATACAACAAATGGACCAAAGAAGAAAAAAGGAGTGGAAGGAAGAAACAGAAATTCTTCACAAAAAAAAAATATATTTGATCTCTTCCCTTGGAAAAAAAAAAAAAAACCAGAGAGAAAGGAAAAACCAAACCCTTTTGGCTGCCTTTTGGGCTCTTTGTTCTTTTCCCTTGTTATATATCTCGTCTGAGCTGTTTTATCCTGTTTTGTTCTGGCAAATGATTTTTGAAATGTCAAAACTTCAAGCCTTTTTTGTCACGGCTTAAGCAGTCCCACTGAACTTTGAAGGAGACCTCAGCATGAGAGACATGAACTTTTGCTGCTATCTTAGCCGGCCTGGCTTTGATCAACATTTGAGAAGGAAAGGGGGAAAAACACACACGCAAAAACCCAAACAACGTAATCCCCTGAAGCACCAGCACTGTGTAGCCATACACTGAGGTTCTCCTTAGGGCTGTGACACTGATCTGCAGCAGGGCCTGGCTTCGGAGGGCTGTGCAGCTGCAGGGCCGCGGCCTACAGCGGGGTGGCCAGGCGGTGATCCTGGTGTTACCTGCTTGACACCTCACCCTGCTTGCTTTACCCCAGGCCCTCAGTGTCTCTGTTTAAAGAGGATTTTGCTGAGCTTTCGGCTGGGAGTGTCATATAGTGCCTGTGGATTGTGTTGCACATGGAGCGCGTTGAGCTATGGGTTTGGCTGTACCCCATTCCCCAAAGGGTGCTTCCAGCTGGGAGCTGGGGCTTCCCCACCATCGCAGCAGCAGTGTCTGATCACCACTGCTGTCCCTTTTTGTTTACCTCTGCTGAGGGACCAGGCATTAGACGAGACAGATCCGGCGGGTCTTTCTGACAAGCAAACCATGTTCGAAATGACACTTGCTTAGAAAATGTTTGTTCTTGTCGGTTTCTAAAAGGATTTGCTATTCAGCCTGCCCCTTCTTAGCTTTTCAAGATGTTTTTGATAAGTGCGCGCTGGTGTCTTGTGAAAACTGTTTTATGTGTGCGGATTCTTTGAAAACAAAAAGAAAATTTGTGTAAAAAGGCTTTGAAATCTTCGGAATTTGAGCTTTCAAAATGTTTGTAAAACTCCTTTTCCTGTTCCTTTTTTTTTTCTGAAGCAAACTATGAAAGGATCAAGGTTGGGATTTTTGTTTGTGTTTTCAATGAGAGTGATGATGGGGAAAGTGTGTGGATGCATTTGAAATGGTACCCAGCTGAGCTGGGATATGAGAAGCCTCCTGGCTGGCAGCAGTCCCCTCCTTCCCCCCCTAGGAAGGAAGGAGAGTGTTTACATTTAACCAGAACTTTCAACTTCCCTGCTTTTTAATTGCTTATTTGTTTATGTTCTTGTCTGAGGTGGAACAGTGTCCACAATTTTCACTAAGCATTGAATTCAGGGATTTTGGATTCAAGCATTTTCACTATTTTTTTCCTTTTCTTTTACTTTTGAGGACGATCTCTCTTGAAGACGTACTGAAATCAAAATTAATTCATCTTGAAAATGCAAGAACACTTTTTTTTTTCTCCCTTTCAGTTCCAATTGTGTTATGTTTGTAAATCTCTCTGTGTACAGAATAGAATATGACAAGGCACAATTTCCTTCCCAAATCTGTGTTGTTTTTTCTTTCTCCCAAACAAATTTACACCTGGAACTGATCAATCTGTCCCACCTCTGAAGTCATCCTGCTGTCACCTGCTGGATTCTCTCCATCAAGGTCCTGTGCCAGGACACTGCTGGCTCAAGTCAGCCTTGTCTTTAATGAAAACCAATTATATGACTATTTTATGTCTGATTTCCTTCTGTTGCCTTCACTCTGGCTCTATTTTAAATAGGAGTGGGGTTCATTAAGGATTTAATCAAGAGCTGGTGGTTTTGCTTTTGAGTCTTTGGGCACAGAGGGACTTGTCTGTCACTGAACCTCCAAATGCACTTATGTGTTTCTCCAGCCACACTCGTTACTAAGAAGCTATAAAAATAAGTAAGCAACCAAGACTAATGCTATAATAGATGTAAACACTCCCAGTGGGTTCATGATGTATTTCCATTTGGTAAAAAACAAAACAACCAGTAATAGTTATCATTGGTATTTAAAGCTGTCTTTAAATATTGATGGAAAAGAATGATAATTAACAGAGAAAGTTAGGCAGCTCTAAGGTCCTTCTTTGTGCTTGGTGTTACACTGCTTTCTGCAGTTACCTTGTGGCTGATGGAGATTCTTCTGCAGCCTGGTCATCCAGCCCCAGCCTCACTGGTCCCCAGTGCAACTCTGTGCTGTTTGTTATTTGTGTGTATGCTCAGCAGCTTTGCTTCATCCCTCAGCTATGAATGTAGAGATGCTGATCTGAGTGATCTGTATAAGTGTGAAAGATTTGAATTCATGTGAAATTATGGCCTGGATTTGTATGGTGTTGTGATCTCAGGATGCTTGGAAATGGGGTTGTTCACTCAAAAGCCTGACTTCAGGTTTTGCTTCTTTATCTTTCACGAGGATAACATGGCACAGCGTGAGGTTGAGGCAAACTCCTTCCTGCTAAAGCATCATCAGTTCTCATTCCAAAGGAAATTTGGAGTGTATGTTCAAGCAGATTCGTGTGGGGTGGTTGCTGCTATGTATTTTTCGTTTTGCTTTTTTAATCCCTTGGCTTTCATTGAGCTGAGAACTTCTGCAGCGCTTAGTAATGCACTTAGACATTATTCTTCCAAGTGATACAAGCCTTCGGTTTCAAGAAAATGTACCCTGGATCTATAGAGTTGCCATTCTTGAGAAATCACAAAGAAGGATTTGAATCTTCAGATTGTGCTTGCAAAGCTTGCCCCTATTTCCAGTCCTAGTACTTAAAAGAAGGGTGCCTGCTAGCTCCTGGGCTACCTGGCAGTTTACCTTGCCCACTCTTCCTCTTTGAAGGTTTCTTCTCCCCTGTTTTTAGAGGCTTTTACCTGGGTAACTTTTGCAAAACACCACTTAATGGCAGAAGCTTTTTGGCTCCCCTCTGATCTGTGCAGCACTATTATGGAGGCAGTCTTATAATCAATGTAATTGAAGATCAGAGTTAATGAGGACCTCTGTGCCTGCAAAATCCCCCAAGCGATGCTGGGCCTCAGATGTTAGATAAGGAAATGATTGGGCTGAACTGAAAATCTATTTGGCTAATTAGATGATGCATATTCCCAGATGCTAGTGGGGAAAAATACACTTCACAAAATAAAGAAACGTAAGATTTTGTAAGAAAAGGTTTTTTGGCAGGAATTTACTTCTAACTCTCAGGGGGGAGAGCGCAGAGAAGTTTTTCTGATAGAAGTTGTGTTGGGTCAGTTCACTTGCCTTGAGCTGGGAGACATGAAGATGAGACAGCCCAATGGACTGCTGCTCTCTCCTGTCCTGGTCCTGGGATCTGGCTGACTGGTAGACATCATCTGCATGAGTTGGGAAGTGATGCTCCAATCCTATGGATCAAAATAATTGCATTTTGTCCACATTCCTGCAGAGACATAGGAATCAAATCCAGCATCTTGTGACACTCATGGGATAGGGGAGAGTCTTGGCAGGGGTGTCCATTTACTGGCCATTTTCATATGCATGCAGTAGGCATGAAAGAGTGCAAATAGACCGACTGATCTATCAGAGAGGGGAAGAGAACCTGCAACTGCAGTTCCCAGCCTTTGCAGGGAAGGTTTCTTTCCTTAGTGCTGGAGCAGCAGGAACAAACTGGCTGTGCTGTGGAGAACAGTGGGTCAGTAACTCGGAAGTTCTGCTGCCTCATGTATAGATTCCTCAGAACCTTACTTAGAATCATAGAATCATAGAATGGCCAGGGTTGGAAGGGACCTCAAGGACCATGAAGCTCCAACTCCCTGCCACATGCAGGGCCAGCAACCTCCTTATTTAATGCTAGACCAGGTTGCCCTGGGCCCCATCCAATCTGGCCTTGAACACTTCCAGGGATGGGGCGTCCGCAACCTCTCTGGGCAGCTGTTCCAGCACCTGACCACTCTCATAGTAAAGAACTTCCTTCTGATATCCAACCCAAATCGTCCCTCCTTCAAAACTGTTTCCCCTTTCCTGCTATTACTACCCTTTCAAAGAGTTGACTCCCCTCCTGTTTGTAGGCTCCCTGTGGGTCCTGGAAGGCTGCAGTTTAAGATAACTCATTCCTTCTTGCGACATGCTACCTTTTGGCATAAAATGCTTTTCATTTTCTTTTTATATTTGCCTAACACACCTTTTTTCCACTCTCAGGCAGCAGCTTTGTTGTGAGCGAAGGGAGCTACCTGGACATCTCCGACTGGCTGAACCCAGCCAAGCTGTCCCTTTATTATCAGATCAATGCCACCTCTCCCTGGGTGAGAGATCTCTGTGGCCAGAGGACCACCGATGCCTGTGAACAGCTGTGTGACCAAGAGACAGGTAAGGGAGGCCTGGGGAGAATAGAAAACTTGTAGAGGCTGGAGGTGTGTGGGAGGTTTGTCTCTGGATATGTCAATACTTGCATGGCTCACCCATGCCTGGCATCAGGGCAGAGTGCTGAGTACCAGCAGGGTATGTAATGGTGACCTCCATCAGCAGGCATTAAGCAGCTGAGTGCCAGGGTGGGGAGTAGAAATGGTGGACCTGTTACTTCTTTTCCCTTCAGTGCTTCTGCCCAGTGTGACCTAGTGCTGATCTCTTCTCCACCTCTCTTGTGGAGCTGCAGACACCTTTATCTGTCTACAGATGAACTTTTTGCTCTGTGCTCTGCTTGCACACAGATCTACAACCTGCTGTGCTGTGGCTCAGCTGTGTGGGGCCAAGGAGAGGAGAAATGTCACTTTCCTTCTGGCCCCATTCTTCTGGGTGATACATGGGGACCTGCAGTGAGCTGGGAACCCAGAAAACAGCAAAAGTGCAACAAGGAAATGATGGGGGTCTTCATGAGTGGGACATGTGAGTGTGTGACTCTGGCAAATATTAAACTACGTTCCTTAAATCCATTTTCCTTATCAAGACAGTATTCTCTTTTCATACTCCTGGTCCCCAAGTCTTGTCTGTGCAAAGGTACTGGTAGTTGTAAGCACAGCAGAATAGTCATTCTGACTGAGTTCCCCATGCTGAGTAGCTCTGGGCATCACCTGCAGCTGAGGAGGGCTGAGGTATCAGCCCCTAGCAGATGGAGGTGATGTGAGAGCATGTGCTTCAGCGCAGCGTGATCACTTCAGGCATCAGCAACTCTCAGCCACCTCTGAGATAAGGAAAGATGAGTTCAGTTCTACTGAGGAGAGGAAGAAGGAAAATCTCCTGCCTGAAACAGCAAACATGGGGAGGGTGAATGGAGGCAGCCCCGATGCTCTGCTTGCCAGTCTTGTGCTGGCCTTGGCAGTGATGCAGGCCCTATGTGGTGTTGGCTGTTCTCCCACAGCAGCCCAGCTGCTGCTCCCTTTGCATCCCCAGCTCTCTGTAGCAGCATGTCTCTCTTGCTGGATGCTCCATGCCCAAGCAGGACATGTCAGATCTCATTTGCAGGGAAGGGAATGATGCTCTTTAGCTCAGCTCCAGCACAGTGCTGGATCCTAACCTCATCAGCTGCTTTACAGTTCCCATTCCTGCTTCTCATCTGACCAAAACCTGGCAGCATTGTCTCTACCTGATACTGGTTGAAGTATGGTGTGTCTTAGATGTGCCTGGGGGAAGGAAACAGGTTCAAGGGGCTGTGACCTGCTCAGAGCAGGAGAAGCAAGGCAGAAAATCTGTGATGAACTCAGGCAGTCTATGATACCAGTGCTGGTCACATCGGGCATTGTCTGTGTGTCTGCCTGTGCCTTCAGCTCTGTGGTGGAGGTGAGGACAGAACAGCCATGCACTGAACCATCAGGCTCCTTACCTCACATCTGCACACCAGCTTTTTTCCTCTCCCTTCAACCTGGGAATTTGTACATGGATAAAACAAAACAGGGCAGGACTGGCTGGTGGGGCTGTGGATTTGAAGTACGAGTTTCCAGACTTTACCAAGAGCTGAACAGTTAACTGCCTACTGACAGTGAATCCTTTGGAAATACCTATGGGACTCCCACCCCAGGAGATAGCCCCCAGCATTGCTTCCAATCCTTGCTGTTGATGAGCCTTCAGCTGGTGAGAAGTTTCCATGCCAGGCTGGGAGCAGATCGTAATTCCATGATGCACTGCATGTATTTTTAGATTTATATTTATTAATGTCATTCTATTTTTAAGGGTGATTTATTTTTATCACCACGAGAGAGAGAGGCCTTTGGTTTTACAAGGGGACATAAATCCTTTCTAGATTTCAACCTTTCCAGGTCAGGGATTTTATCATCGCTGTGAGCATCTAGAGGAATGGGTGCGGGGGGTTTCCCTGCCCTCCATCCTCTCTGGATGGGGGAGGAGGGGTGCTGGGCCAGGGTTTGTCCTGTCTAGGGCACGAGTGCCCTGAAGGTTTCCCTTATGAGGAGCAGCAGGGCAACCCCTGAGGTGCTTCAGTGTGTTTACAGCCCACTCTGCCTTCAGTCCCCATTGGAGGCCGCTCTATCCTTCAGTGAATGCCTTGTCCCAAAGCTTTCTCCCTCCAAACTATATGCAGACCTCTTCCAGCTCTATAAGAGCACTCATCCTCAGCAGCAGTGCCGGGGTCTGCTGGCACAGGTTTGGACAGAAGAAGTCACCAGGTTGCACATGTGTTCTGGTGATGCTCAACCTCTTACTCCCCCCTGAGCTGAAGACCTCTTTTGGGTTGGGGTTTTGTGGAATATCTGTCCATGCAGTGCACTGATTCGTAACCAAAGCCACAAGTGCTGCTTCAGTATGAATAATAATCCACACTGAAAACCATGGCTCGGAAACGCTAGGAAATGCCAAAACACATCTTGCTTGCCTGACCTTAATTTGCTTTCCCTTGTGTCTTCACAGTGTGACTCATTCTTTAATTAAATGATTGCTGCCCCTGACAAATTTCAAGCCCTCTCTGCAAAGTACCAGCTCATCAGAGCTTTTCAGGGAGAGCACCAACATCTGCACAGGAGCAGAATATCATCTGTGGCTTCAAGTGAGCTGGGTGCCTCTCCTGAATGTGTCCTCAGCCTCACAGTGTGGATAACGCGCTCCAGAGCTGCGCCTTGGTTGGGTTTTCCAATGGACGTGGCATTCATTCCACACTCTGAGATGCTTTTTCCTAAATCAAGGAGTGCTGTTTTTTCATTCACCTCCCTTACCGGTGCCAGGAGCATTTATGAGGGCATCCTTTTTTTGGTGGCATATGCAAATCCTGATTTGTGAGCACAATTACCTGCTTTGTATGCACCAAACTGATTCACTTGCACATTCTGTGGGCATCGCTTAAGAGACCTGCTGGAGAATTGGTCCCTTAGGGCCAAACGCTGGAAAAAACAGCCTCTGATTCTGTGCTGTCAAGCTTGCCAGAGCAGTGGCATAAATGAGATGGATCGCTACCTTGATTAGCAGGTGCAAGTGCGTTGATTTTTTTCCCCATCCATAAATCAGGCACTTACCCGTTAAAGCTGTCTTCTATGCATTCACAATTGATTGCACCCACAAAACAATAGGCACATGCTTGTAAGAACCCAATTAGGTGTGGTAGCGAAAGGTCTTTTTCTAGAAATTGGCAGGGGGAAAAGAAAAAAAAGGTTTCCATCATCTTCCAAATGGGTGAGTTTGTCACCAGGGCCGCAGATGGCTCTGCTATCCTGATAGGACAGGGCACTTGTGGGTAGGAAACAGATGGAAGTCGGTGTTAAATGTACCCTTTCTTTAAAGGCACTTGTTAAAGGGGGTGTGGAGGTTGCAGAGCAGGACATGTAAATCAACAGATGACCAACCTTGGTGAGGGGGTACTCGTGTTTATGAAAACAGCCATTTTCGTCAATAGTTCAATTTAGTATCATGTGGCTTTTGTGCACATCAAGTAATATTTGTTTGTTCTCATGAACTTGTGCTATTTTCGCTGTTGGAAGATCCTAGTGTCTTTATTGACTTTGACTTTCATAAGATGAGGTTCTGTCTCTCTAAGGTATGTAGTTTAATAACTTGGTCAAAACTCACATAATATGCAATTGCTTTTCATGCGGCGGCTCAGCTTGCCTTGCGCACCAAGCAGGGCAGGAGGCAGTTAACTCCCAAGCTAACTGCTTCGGGCTGTGGTGTTAGACATAAACAGCAATCAAAATGCATGCCCGCGAGGGGGCTGAGTTAAGGTTATCTGTGCTGTCTTTGCACTCTCATTTTCTGCCATTAGAGTGTTTAATCCTGCAGCTGCTAATGTTCCTGTAATGGCATTTCTGAGCTTGTCTAGAGGCTGCGAAGAGCAGGGAAGGGAGGGGAGCTCTGTGGCTGGAGGTGCTCCTGGGCACATTTTGCCTGCTTGGCCCATCCCACCAGCCCTGCTGGCTGACTTTGGAGGTGTCAGCCCAGAAGGTGATAGTTGGGTACTGCAGAGCACGTTTGGGTGCTGCCTGCTCAAGACCTTGCAGCAGCTGCACACGTGCGCCCATGGGGAGCTTCCTCAGCAGTGCAGCTTAGGGGCTTAGCAAATGATAATGAGAATAATATCTGTGTCGAACGTAAACCCAGACACAATCCTCACAAGTTAGGTTTGCTCTCAAGTGCTTTGATGCATCTGGGCAAGGAGAGTGACTTGCAGTGGGGGGAGAGGAGGATGTCTGTAGTGTTGATTCCAGATTTTCCCTCTGCATTTGCAGCAGGGCTGAGCTGTCTGCCTCTGCTCCCAGCCACTTTGAGCTGTACCTCATGTCTGTACCAGTCTGATGCTGCCCATGTGCTGCAGAGGAGGATCTCTAGGGGTCTGCTGGTCATCCTGCCTCGTGGTGACTGTGTTCCTTTAGAGAGGAATTAAATAATCAAAGAGAAAGAAAGTTTGTCCTGATAGGAAAGAGCTTTCCTTTCTTGTTCCACAAAAGCTGAACAGCTTTTAGTGAAACTGAGTTTCTCATCAGGATTAAGCAGAGAGAGTTTGGAAAATGCCATCCCCAAAGGCCAGGAACTGCAGATAATGAGGGTGGAAGAGAAACTTGTCAGAGCTGGATGCTGCTGAGGAGTCACAGCCTCAGCTGGTCCGGTCCTGGCTGCAGCAGCCACTTTCTGAGGACCCCTCACTTGTCCATTGAATTTAGGAATTTAATGATCCATTAAGACCATTTTTGTCCTTTCTGTGTTGAATTTTCTCGGATTCTCTTTCTCTGCTATCCCACAGGGTTGCAGCAACCCATTTAAAGAAGGGTTTTGTAGAAGTGCCTTTTGAGCTTCCCTCTCATCCGCACCTGTATCAATCAGAAACTCTGTGCCAACCCTTGTGCACATGTGCACTGTGCCTGTCCCTGGCTGGCTCATCTCCTCCATCACGGCTGCTAGCCAGGGACAGGAGCAATGCGTGCAGTGTTGGGGTAGTGGCAGGAACTGAAGGGCCAGGCTTTGCCCAGGAGTGAGCCCTGCAGCCTCCTGCCTGCACCCAGGGTACAAGTTGTGCTTCTGGGAGAGGTGCCCACAGGGCCAGAGCTTATGCTGTTGTCCCCCGGGCAGAGGCACAGTCCCTGGTTCCATGAGTAGAAGTGCTGCTGCCTGCAAAGAGCAGCTTCTCCAGGAGCACAGGGACTCTGGGAGCCTCTGCTGTGTGCCAACTGGAGGATTAGAGGAATCCCACAGCATTATCACAGTAGATCACCTCGCCCTAATGAGGATAACAGGATTACCAGCATACTGGCGCAGGAACACTTGGCTGCATGGCTCTCATGCAGCCTGGCTATGCTGCTCTGTGGATAAACAAGGAGATGGCTGGGAGATGTTTTCTGCTTCAGGAGGAGCAGAAATGTGGTGTGATGAGTGAAATAGGAGAAACCTTTTAGCTTCCTGTGTAGATGTGTAGAAAAGGGCTGAAGTCCTCATTGCGCTGGTCTGGATGCAGCTGGAAGGCTGCTGTAGGCATTTGCACCAAGCTCCTGTGTGCTTTCCCTCTGCCCTAGGAGCACAGTGGGGATTCAGACAGGCTCCTCTTCTTTGGGCATGAATGAGCCGTGGGACAGCCCTGAACCAAAAGCTGATGGTGCAGAAGGTGGTGATTGGGCTGCAGAGTTCTCCCGTACTGCCACTGCATGAAGCGTGCCATCATATGGAGCTCTGTGCTTGGAAATAGGCAGAGGAAGCTCCCACTTGTGTGCAGCCACCAGGCAGATGTGTGTTTGGTTTGCCCACCTCCACCATGCTCTGGGTCCTGCTCCTCTTCCCAGCTGCAGCAGCAGTGCCGGATTGTGGCAGGGCTCTGCACGCCACTCGGTGCTGCTTTGATCTCTGTGCTTGCTCATCTCCCCGCCAGCCCTGTGGACATGAAAGCACAGCAGGAGGAGGCTGTGAGACATGTCTGGGGGCTCTGGATGCACCCTGCAGCTTCTGCAGCCCTGGAGACTCTGTGCTCCCTGCCATCAGCCATGGCTGGGCAGTCTGATCTGGCCTGATTCGTGGGTTCTGAATTCAAAAGAAGACAGATGGCTTCAGCATCAGTGTTTGCATGTGCACAGCACGGGTCGGTGTCTGCAGAAATGGGCTGCTTGTCACAGCACTTTGGAGATCCCAGTTCATTTGTCCTCCCTCAGCAGAGGCACAGGGTTTTGTAGCCCTGAACAAGAGTGCTGTTGTTTGGGCTCTTGGTGGTGGCTGTTTTTAGCAGCATGTTGAAATCTGCTCTTAAGGAAATACACTTGCTCAATGAAGGAATTAGGGGCCTGGGACCCCCACCTCGGTCACACTGAGCCCATGCTGGTTCACCCCACAGGCCATGGCAGCAGTTGGTTCAGCATCACACCCATCAGGGCTGAGGACAGAAAAAATCCCAGGATATTTGGGGGGGTTGAAGGAGGAGGGTGCTGGTGGTCTCAGCCCTGCACAACATCCCTGCTGTGCAATGCTCCCGCTTCCCAACACAAACCTCCCTATAAACCTCCCAGTAAAGCCTCCAGGACTGGCTGTAGCTGTTGAAGCTCTAGGATTGAAGTCAATAAAATCAATATTTCTGCAGGTTGATAGAGTTCCTCCTTCCAACACCGAGCTGCCTCAACTGTAAACAAACTGGCGGACAAAATAAACACATCGTGCTGCAGGAAAGGGGTTAACGGCCCTGGCACCTGCAGCCATCAATAACCAAGGCGGTGATCGGGCTGTTGGATGCCAACCTTTCTGGGTGTTTTTTTTCCCCTTATTTGCTCTAATTTCCGTGGCAGGCTCAGAAAGTGAGCCGGTGCCCCAAGACTCCCAGCTCTGCTTTGCAAGCGCTCTGAGATGTCTCTCATTTGCAGATCATATATTTGTTATGTAATAAGCGCCGGGAATTAATGATCCACGTCGTGGCTGGGGGAACTTGCGTACTAAGCACCCAAGAAAAGAAATAACTTTTTTTTTTTAACTCACTGATGGAGCCATTAGGACATGCAGCTCTTGTCACGAGACCGCCGTGGGCCAGGCAGGCTGCAGCATGGTGAGCCAGAGCAGGAGGAGCTCACGCCGTCTCCTTCCCAGCTCCATCCCTTTTGAGAAGTAATGCTCCTGCCTCTCCCATTATGAATCATGAGGTTAGCAGCTTTTGACAGATCATAAATCAGTGCTTGGAAGTTGCTAGGACAAATCCCAGGACATTTAATCTTTAATATTAGACGCGTTTAAAGCAGTGAATATTTCATGAAGGTGCTGTTGCATTTTAGCACGTCATTAGCTGTCTCCTTCTTCCCCCCTCCCTTCTCTTTCCCTACCTCTCCCTTTCCAGACATCTCTTAGTATCTCATGGGCTGCACCCCCATTTCGTTCCCTCCTGACAATAAAGCTCTTTACTGTAATCCCTGCAAGACATGCTAAGCTCAGCTGGGGACTGAGGTGTACGCAGTCCCTGCCCACCTGCAGCCTTGCTGTTCTGGGGGCTCTCCTTCCCTGCCTCCCCCCTCTTTGTGGTCCCCCCGGCTCTGCCCCAAGGCTTAAAGCCCAGCGATGAGGAACAGCACAAAGCGAGGCAGAGGGAGTGGGAGAAGTAATCGACAGATGCTTGTAAGAAAACTCCACGTGCAAATCCAATTCGTCTTTTGATTTTGCTGTTTCTTGCTCCGGGTTATATATTCATACTGAAAGCAGGATCGATCTGGGCCAAGCTCAGGTCTGTGCTCCTGCTGTCAGCAGGGTGTAACGGGGGGTGGGAGCCCCTTGGAATGGCAGAGACTGGAAGCCAGGGGAGGAAGCCAGAGAGGAGGGAGGCTGATTCTTCTGCACTGAGTGAGCTGGGGGGTTGCAGAGGGGACTGCATCTATGGGGTGGGTGTTTGCTGTCCTGGAGAGGTGTTGGTGTCATGCTGAGCTTCTTTGGAGGCCACCAGGCAGGGCTTGGCTGGCCCAGGGGAGCTGAAAGGATGCACATAGGTTGAGATCAGACATCTTGATTAATTGCATCGCATCTCCAGCTCCAGTAACACATCATGTAACCTTGTCAGAGAAGTCATAGAGTATCTCGAGCTGGAAGGGACCCATAAAGATCACCAAGCCCAGCTCCTGGCTCCACACATCTCCATCCCAAACCCTATGGTGGAGAGCAGTCCTGATGCTGCCCGAGCTCTGACAGTTTGGGTTATGTCCACTGCTCTGGGAGCTGTGCCATGCTCACCGCTCTCTGATGCAGAACCTTTTCCTAACCTTTTCCCAGCTGACACAGCTCTACACCATTTTCATTGGAGCAGCCAATGTGGTGCTTTCTGCACAGGGAGGTCTTACATGTACCTGGTCTCTTGCAGGGGAGTGCAGCTGTCATGAAGGCTATGCCCCGGACCCCATGCATCGCCACCTGTGTGTGCGCACTGATTGGGGACACAGTGAAGGGTGAGTGGGAGCTGCCTGTGCACAGCAAGCTGGCTTCATGCTGGGCTCAGTTCCTTTCCTTGTGACCTTCATCATTATCACCAGATATCCGGCACCTGGTGGTGCTGCTGTCCTTGGTGGGGATGTGACGCAGCTTCTCTCTCCCTCTTGGTCTCCCAGGCCATGGCCCTACACCACACTTGAGAGAGGATACGACTTGGTCACAGGAGAGCAGGCACCGGAGAAGATACTCAGGTGGGTTGGGTAGCATTCAGCTTGTCTGTATTCGAGTTGGAGGTCCACCGTTCACTGTGGATTCTGTATTCCTGTCTGATGGTTTGTCCCCATCCCAGGTCCACCTATAGTCTGGGACAAGGCCTGTGGCTGCCTGTCAGTAAGAGCTTCGTGGTGCCCCCCGTGGAGCTCTCTATCAATCCTCTTGCCAGCTGCAAGACAGATGTTCTGGTGACGGAAGATCCGGCAGATGTCAGGTAGGAAGCAGATTTCTCATTTTACTCGTGCTTGAGTGGCTAGACTGGTCTTCAAATTGCTACTGAGGATTCAGTAATTTATATAATAAGTTTGATCAATTTTCTTCCAGTAAGAGATCTGATTATTGGTGGTGGTTATTTTCCAGGTGATTTTTGGTTGTTATAGGTCTAGACCCAGGTATGTCATGTAACTGAAGCCTGACAGTCCCATCAGGTGAACTGGTCAGACCTGTGACACGGCTGTTTTCAAGTGGCTTAAATCTAATGTTTGTTTGCATAGCTTTAGTTGGTGCATTTATAGGTACAGAGGACGTCATCGTCGTTCTGAGATGTTGATGCATATCACATCTACTATTTTGGGCCCCATGAAAGGCCAAGGTCAGAGCCTGGTGAAAGGTTGTGTTGTTGGTCCAATTACTATGCAATCAGAGGGGTTGTTTTTCTCCCTTGAGTTCAGCAGATGCCCAGATTTTTCTCTGGCTCTCCCATTCTCACTAGCTTGTGCTTTAACCAGACTTCCTTTGACATCTCATTCAGCAGAGCTGAGGGTGGGCAAAGTTTGGGGCTTGGAAAGAGAAGTCCAGGCAAAACAATTGTCTTCTGTGCCCCAGCTGGAAGGCGATGTTGTTATTGCCCACCTCTGCTTGGTTTGCAGAGGTTTAGCTGTTTGATTTATAAGGTATCGGTGTGTATTTCCTCTCCTTGCTTAAATCAAGATTAAGTGTGTGATTGCAGGGTGCCAGGGATTCCCTAGGAGTCCTCCCTGCCTTTCTGCTTGCTGCCTTCTCCTATTGAATGAAGACAATTTCTTGACGTGCTAATTCTTGTCTGTGCTGTGGATCATATTCCTGGGAATCCCTATCTCCCCAGCCCATTTTCTTTCGTTTTCTAAGAGCAACGGGTTATTGGATTTCCACTTTTCTGTCCCATCACTGTGAGTCTTGGCAGGACTCTTCATGGAGGAGTGCTGGGGCAGGAGGGCAGTTTCTGGCACAAAGGCTTCTGCTGTCTGCTCTCCTCCAAAATGAAACCCCTGATATAAATATCAGGAGTGACCCATGTAGAATAAAAGAGGTGAGTTCATGGTGCTTGTATCCTACGTGAAGGAGATGCTAAATTATTAAAACTTTAATAAACGTAATAATAAATATTTGATGCTGAATTATGGAGGATTTCGCAGATACAGTGAAAACCCCAAACTGAGGTGTTATTATTCCTGCATTAGAACCTAAATGCTTCTCAAAGGAGGATCAGGCTGGCAGCTCAAGTTCCTGAGCACCCTGTGAAGGATGGGGTGGAGATGGTGCTGCACAATGGGCTGCTGGAGGTTCTGGTGCAGAGCAGCTGTGCTCAGGATGCTTAGTGTGCAGCCCATGAGGAGGGACATTGCAGTGTTTGGCACCTGTGAGCATTGCCTGTCCTGTCTCCATATTGAGGCTGTTGGGAGCTTTTACAAAATGAGAACAGTACTATAAAGCTGTTCATCTTTGCTTTGTTCCTTTGGACTGAGACGTACGTTGGTATCAAGTCAAGGGAGTGGTAATGCAGCAGTTCTGGTGGTCCAGGAGTCTGAATGGTGTCTGGTAATACTGGACCTGCCATTGGAGTGGAACACATACTGTCCAGCACACAGGACTTCAAGAGTCATCCCTCTGCCCTCATGCAGCCCTGCTCTCATGGTGACACTGCTGTCTGCATGCTGGCAGCTCCTGTTTGTGTGCTGTGGTGTTTTAGCTGTGACCCCCTCATGTCCCCAGACCAGCATCAGCCCTGTGCTGTATTACAGCAGCTGGAGCACGGCTGTGTCTCAGCTCCCGCAGTGTGCTGTGTGCTGTCCTGTGACGTGATGGTAATTCACCCAGTATTTCTTCTGTACCTTTAGTAACAAGCGAACTGCATTCCTCCAGACCTTTCATTAGTCTGGCACCTTTTCACTCTGAGGTCACTTCTTGTGAAGAGTTTAATGGAGGAAAATTGCAGAAAGCCTGGCTTGGAGGAAACAAGTGATGAAGTCTTTACAACTTGGAGGGTTAAAGGTTTGAACACGGCCTTGTGGTTTTATGAAGACACTGGGGACTGCAGAAGGGCCGGGTGGGGCTGTGCCATCAGCAGATCTCCGGAGCAGTGCTGGCTCCCTGCGGCTCACAGGGATGATGTTCTCTGATGGCTCCCTGCTGAGGCTTCCTCCAGCCTTCTGCCATGGCTGCAGCCCACCCTGCAGGTAGGGGTGGCAGGTGGGATGCTTGCTGCCTGTTCTCTGTGTGCACTAGGCAAGGAAAAGGAACTCCTTCTGGTCCTATTGGAAGTATCACTTGTCCTGTGGGATGGAACATTGCTGTGCTCGTTCAGCGTGGGATGCTCAGCCTATGGGCAGCTCTCTGTGGATATCAGGAGGACACGCAGCTCCTGCTCCCACCCCAGCACTGAGTTGCAGCAGCAGCCTTTATTGGCTTTCCAGGTGTGTGGGGTGACACTGGTGCTGGTGGCACTGGTGCTGAAGGTGTCCCCTGGAGGTGATGCAGGGGCTCCTGCCCTGCTGTCACTGTGCTGGTGGTGTCACCCCATGCCCCTCCGTGCCACCAGCTCTGCAGAAAAGTTTGTAGTTTCTCCTGAGCAGGTATAAATTGGAGGAGTGAGCCTCAGCTGCTGCCTGACATGACATATAGCTTTATTGTTATGGCAACCATAGAAACAAATAAAAGCTTTGCCTTCGCTTGACAAGCCTTTGAGATGTCCTGATGGAGAGACAAGTGTTCAGTGGCAGAATGAATTCTCTTGAACTCTCTGTCAATTCATCTTCGTTTTGCTCCCAAGCGAGCCCCTTTGCTCTTGAAATTCTTTGCCAAAGTACAATCAGTGAGATTTTTTGTTACTGTTATTATTATTATTTTATCTTCATTTCTCCCAGTGCTGCACACACTGCATTTGAGCTGGTTATGCTCCCCAGCTCTGAGCCTGTGCATCCCATGGAGCAGGGGCTGGCCTGTGTTGAGGCTGGGAGCTGTGCTGTGTCCTGACATGTGGCTGACCTGGCTGAGACCCTCTGTATCAACCAGTAACACCAGTGTGGCACCAGCTTTTGCAGCAATTTGGGTACTTTACACCTTGCTGTGAGTCTCCCTGCACTCTCCAGTAGACAGGAAGTGAAAGGAGAAATGGAGGAGAAAGGCAGAGGGAGTGGGCCAGGAAAGGGGAAGCAGTTTTGTTAATCATCAGCAGATTTTGTCTCCTTGGCACCTGGGCCTCACACCTCGCCCCTGGGAGCACAGGGAAATGAGCACTGCTTCAGGCAAACCTGGCCAAAGCTCAGGAGGGTTCTGCTGAGTGCTCTGCTCCAGCACAAGGTGGGTTCTATGCTTATCTCAAGCACCACCCAATTTGGTGCAAAAGGGCTTCTCTTGGGTTCACTCCTGCTACTTCCTCTGCCTTCACGGTCTGTCTGTCCTTGCAGCATCACCTGTTCCCGAGCCTTGGGATGTGTTTGTGCAAGGGAAACCCTTTTTGGAGCTGTTTCTCAGCAGGAGCAGTGACCCCGGGCTGCTGCCTTCCCACCTCTTTCCCTGATGATAACAGCAGCCACAAGTGCCAGTGATGCAGCCGTGAGTGGCTGACAGCAGGTGTCTGTGATGAATGGACGGCTTAACATGATGGAGCAAATTGATCATTCCATCACCAAGCACAACTTACTCATTTCTGGATGGAGGGCAATCCATTACTGCACGCGTTGCAGAGACATTGGTATCCCCAGAGGTAGAATCCCCTTGGCTCTGGCCTGGGCTTCTTAACACCTCAATGTGCCACCAGCTCACAAAAGGGTAGAGAAGCAGCTCCTGGTGCTTAACACGGGATAAAGGCAGCCCCCAGACTCATCTTCCTTGGGGAAAGGGTGGATGCTGCTCAGAAAGGCAACTGCCAGCCTTTGCTCTGCGTGTGTCAACCCCACATCGTCCTGGTTCTTGTGGGATTTTCCTGCTCGCTGCCTCCCGGTTTGATTTCCTCGAGCAGATTGGAGGAGTCAGCTCTGTCTCATTTGGCAAAGGGATGACTAAATGGGGCTGTAACCTTGTGGCAGCCACTGACAGCTGCGAGCACGAGGAGAGAGGAATCGCAGGAGCGGTGCATCGGGGAAATGAACAGCAGAGAGGAAATGAGGGAAAAGAATTAAACTCAATCTGGAATCACCCAGGGAGTATCTTGGTTAGGTCAGAACCAAACCCGTGCCTAGCAGCACCTCCATCACACTGGGAGGGTGCAGAGACCTGATGCGCTCTGTGCATCTCTGTGATTCACCACCAGCAATGGGATCTGCTCTGCCCAGAGGCAGAGGGGTATCTCAGCCCTCCTTCTTTGTGGGCTTTGCAATAATCCCTGCTACAGTAATGCTGAATTTCCCTTTTTGTGTGATCCTCTGAAATTCCTGAGCTCTTCATACTGCGCTATAAAACTACGCAGAAAATGATCAAACCACTTAGGGGCAATGCCTGTAAATTTCAACCGAGCTCATAGGCAAATCCATTGCAGAGAGCACGCACCAGGAGCAGCCATGAGTTGTGCAGCTGAATGATTGCTGCTCCTCTCATCAACGGTGCCACAGAGCCCGGGAGGGAAAAGCAAACAAATGCACAAACAGATTTTGTTTATGTATTTATTGAGACAATTAAAACCCCCAACACTTGCCAAATATACACATGCTGTCTCACACCCGGAATGGTTCCCTTTAATGTAGCTGGGATCTCCCATCGCAGAGCATGATTTGGCACCGAGCTCTGCAGCTTCTCCTTACTGCGGATCTTCAGTTGCTGGTAGCTGTGTGTGTTTCTGTCCGTCTGTCTGTCCATCAGAGCAGCTCAGCCCTGGGCAACAGTATCCTGCTGGCATCCAAGCAGAATCCGGACATAGGGGATTTGCAGGGCAGACAGTGGCTTTGAAACACAGCACGGGTGTATGCACTTAGAGAGATGGAAGGTTGCTAAGTCAGGCATTAGGATTGCTTTAGTGAA